GCCCAATGCACGTTCAGAGTGAATTCAAATGAAGTTAAAGTGGAAGTTCTCAGTCTCCTGAGCCTCACAGGTGGGTTTTTATGCGAAGATGAGAACAGGGAGAAGTTAAAGCTAGGGGGCAGTATAACTTCCAGTCCCTCGCTTCTAGCCTGATTTGTGCAAGTCCCAGCAGCCTATAGAGGGAAGCACATCTACAGTACCTGCAGTTCTGGAAATTGGTCAAGAATGGCTGTTTGGGGGTGGCTTCCAGGAGCCTTCCATCCTGCACTCAACACTGAAATTTTAGGGGCAACGACCGGAGCAAGGGCTGGAAGGCAGTGGGCTAGGGACATGGAACAGGGCTGCAGGGGATGGCCTCACAGCAGAGCCCTCTCTGCCTTTGAGACTGACATCCTGATGACTCCACCTGGGAAAAGCCTCAGGAAAGGGGTCACACAGAAAGCTTTAGGAGGAGTCCTGGTGAAGAAGTCCATTGTTACTCCTCACCTCCCCACAATAGATGCCCCTCGTCAACTATGTTAGGTGAGTTAAGGTCCTAAGGAGGGCGTGTGTAGGAGGTGAACCACCAAGGAGAAGGCATGACCCAGAGCCCATGAATGACCCCAAATTCCTTTTCCTTGCTTCTGTCACTGGTCTAACATGATCCCTGACCCGACAGCCAGGAGAACGCAGCTCAGGAGCTCCCTCTGCCTCTGTGTTGTGGTGAAACTTCAGTTCAGTCCTGTTTCTTAGGCATAAAGACATGGGGCTCTGTTGCTTCAATCCCCAACTCACTTACCCATTTGGGAAAATGGTACGTTCAAGGCTGCCCACAGTTAGAAATTCCGGAGGACAGTTAGAGGATGGAAGGAGAGGCCAGTTCAGGAGGACAGTTGATTTGGGTTGAGCATGGGAGGGAGGGGCAAGGATTTCTGGGGTGAGACCCTGGCATGCAGGGCAGCATTCTGGGGTAGGTACAGCCACTAGAGGGAGCATGGTCCGAGGCAGGCCTAGGTGGCCTTGAGGCCAGGGGACTTAATCAGCCAGACCCCATATCCCCTGCAGGCTTGTGTGTGTGTGTGTTTTAATAAATTTATTTTTTATTGGTGTTCAACTTGCCAACATATAGAATAACACCCAGTGCTCATCCCGTCAAGTGCCCACCTCAGTGCCTGTCACCCAGTCACCCCCATCCCCCGCCCTCCTCCCCTTCCACCACCCCTAGTTTGTTTCCCAGAGTTAGGAGTCTTTCACCTTCTGTCTCCCTTTCTGATATTTCCCACTCATTTTTTCTCCTTTCCCCTTTATTCCCTTTCACTATTTTTTATATTCCCCAAATGAATGAGGCCATATAATGTTTGTTCTTCTCCGATTGACTTATTTCACTCAGCATAATACCCTCCAGTTCCATCCACGTCGAAGCAAATGGTGGGTATTTGTCGTTTCTAATGGCTGAGTAATATTCCATTGTGTACAGAGACCACATCTTCTTTATCCATTCATCTGTCGATGGACACCAAGGCTCCTTCCACAGTTTGGCTATTGTGGACATTGCTGCTATAAACATCGGGGTGCAGGTGTCCCAGCATTTCACTGCATCTGTATCTTTGGGGTAAATCCCCAGCAGTGTAATTGCTGGGTTGTAGGGCAGATCTATTTTTAACTCTTTGAGGAACCTCCACACAGTTTCCCAGAGTGGCTGCCCCAGTTCACATTCCCACCAACAGTGCAGGAGGGTTCCCCTTTCTCCACATCCTCTCCAACAGTTGTTGTTTCCTGCCTTGTTAATTTTCCCCATTCTCACTTGCAGTGAGGCAGGTGTGCTGGCGCATGCAGAAGAAAAGTGACTGGACATCCTTCACACACTTCCTTTATCCTGCATGAAGTCCTGTAACAAAGTGAGTCTCCCTCCTCTCACTGACTCACCTGGGACCAGATGATCCCACCCTCAGCTGTGCGCCCTGCTGAGCAGGGCCAAGGGAAGTGCTTCTCTAAGTTTGGCAGAAATGGTTGAAGGGGATATTGTTGAATGCAGGGAACTTTCTTTGGGTTGGTTGGGGGAAAGTGTCCGTTTTAATTTTCTTTGTCCCTACATCCCCTGCCCTTTCACTGTCCTCCTGCAGAGGCAAGGTGAGCCCAACATTGGGCTGACTACAAAGGGGCCAAATGTGGCCTCAAGTCCATGGCCTTCTCCTCCATCTATCCAGATAGGGCGTGGGTACAGGTGGGGCCTCTGGGCAGGGCAGGAGCAGGACAGCATGTCCTACAACCTCCCACCGAGGAAGGGGCAGCAGGGTGGAAAGGCTTTGAGTAGGAGCCAGGAGAGGAGGGGAGAAGGTGCACATTCTCAGTCCCAACAGGGGGAAGAGCTGGGACCCTGGTTCCAGGAGCTCAGATATGGAGGCATTTCCCTCTCTGTCTGCTGGAGGGAGAGGTGGCCGCAGGGGTCCAAGGTGTGTCTGGGGCTCACACCAAAACCCTCAGGTGAGAGGTGTTGCAAGGCTAAGCTGCTGGCTGGGTCTGGCTGAGTCTGGAAGCTGCAGGGGACCAGTTGCTGCAACTCCTGCCATTTCTGGGGCTCACATCCTAGGAGGGGAAGCCAGGGACATCGATAAAGGCACCATCTCGACAATAACAAACCACAACCTCACACATACCGTGTCAGCTATGACAGTTGTTATGAACATGAACCTGTAGTATCTATACAGAAGCATTCTTATATGGAAGAATGCCAGAATGTTCACTCTTCCTCACATTTGGAAGCACAAAGGGAGTTTTATGTACTTCTTGGTAGTTTGGTGTATTTCCACAACTTCTGTTGCTTCTAATCCGAGTATTGTTGAAAGTTGCCTGGAAGAGCACAGGAGAAAGACATGTTGCACAGATTTGGGATTCACTGCAGATTTTAATCCCTGGGGGCCCAGATCATGGTGGAGGAGCATCTTGCCAGCTAGGACATGGGGTCTTGTGCTTCAAGCATTAGCTGATTCTCCTAGCTCAGACCCTCCAGACTTCATCCATGGATTGGTGTCCGTGTCTCACTTGGTCCAAATGCAAGACTCACAGATGTAGTCCCTGTGGGAATTGCTTCCCAGACAGAGGCTGGGTAAGTCTTAGATCCCAGCCTGGCTTGCAGGAAACCCTATTTTCAATGGGAATTCGTTTGTGAATGTTGTCTCTGCCTCGTAGAGAGAGAATCTATTTCTTTCTTTTTTCTTTTTTTAAAATGGAGACACCCTTTTTCTTACCTGTTCCTCCTCCTTCTCTCCCCACTGTCATCTCCAGCTCTGAAAATCCTCCTCCAGATTGGAAAGAGAAAGAAACAGCCCAATGAATCAAACAGATATGCTTGTTCCCTAGGGAAAAATACTTCCTAAGTGCCTTTGGGCTTCAACTGGAAGATGAGGTCAATTATTTCTGACCTATGTGGTTGTTCAGAAAATCCAGAGAAATCAAGTGCACAACATGCCCAAAGAATGTTTGACACCAAGTAGGGTCTTACTGCCCATTACCCATCCTTGAATTTCTCTCATCCTAACAACCATATCTGCTATACCTCTGACAGTCCTTGTTTCCACCTGTGAGGTGCCAGAGGCTCAGAGAAGTGAGTAACTTGTCGAAGATCTCATGGCACGTAGGTAGCACATTTGGGCTTGTATCCCAGATATGCAGGAGAAGATTATTTGGGAATCACACTTGGAGTAGCCTGTGATTGGCTCTGGGAATGAGCCCACTCAGAGAAATGGACCCCACACTCACTCTTTCCCCAGGACACGGGAATCTGCCATTATTGATGCCTGTCTTCTCTGTGGTGACCACCAACTGTAAGGTAGACAAGGAATCCTGAGAACTTGGAATTAGGGGCTCTCCATATGGGAGCACCGTTCCCTCGTGCCTCCCGGGTTAACCATACCAGCAATGCATTCATGAATGCATCATGCTTTCAAAGATGCAGCAAGGCATCTTTCTAGGTGCTGAGGGGGAAGAAGTGAACACAACACAGGAAAATCTTGCGTTCATGGCACTTTCGTCCTTGAGAGGCAAAAGAGACAAGATACATAAATAAGGAAAAGCCTTAGAATGTCCAACTGGGTTAAGCACGTGGGAGAAAACAGGAGAGGGGTGTGGCAAGCATGGAACAGGAAATTTGTACCTATATACAAATATTTCTCATTTACATATGTGTCCATTCCCAAGGCTCACTGATGACACTTAGTGACACTTGGTATATGACACAGAGAGGCACAACTGTGTGGCACCATCTGGAGGGAGAGGGAAAGGCAGAGAACCAATGGGAAAACTGATTTCCAGGCCGCCCTGCTCCTTTCCCCCTGACACTCCATTTCTAGTGACTAATCCCCATCACCCCCAGTGTAAGTCTCTCCCACTGTAATCATCTGGTCTTTGTCTCCCTTGGACAAATGAATGAATAAAATTCAAGGGAAAGAGATCATCTTTACCGTCTCATCCCTCCCCTTCTTGAGCTGTCCCATCCATCTCACAGAGGGGTGGGACACTGGGAAGTCAGACCACATCTGGAGTATCAGACTCTGGTCCTAATGAGCCACCTTGCAGGGGATGTAGTGCCCCTGGAGGTCACACTGAGTCCAGGATGGTTATGGTACCTGAAAGGGACTGAGCAACTCCCTCACAGATGCTCAATGACCCCAGCTTTGTCAGGTGTGAAAGGCTGTCCTGTGGGTGTGGGGTTATACATGCTGCGTGTAGGCCAACAACCAAAACTACAAGTGAAGTGACGAGATACTAGGGAGAGAGATTCTATACCAACATTAATTAGTACCTTATTCTGGATCTAATAAAATGAGACGGGGTGTCTGGATGGAGTGAGTCCCAAGTATCTGGAGGAATGCAAACACAGACAGGATGTACCCTCTCCTCGGAACATTGTAGAGAGGATTCAGGTGGCTTGATCTGAAATTGTGATTCTGTGATCTAATGGGAGGCCTGAGGGCAGGTGATGGGAATAAATAAAGCTGGAACCTCCCACGGGACTCTCAGGAATGGTCCTCAGACTGTTGCAGTTGCTTCTGCTGGGCATATTAACATTGGTCTTCACGAAAGAAGGTAAAGCCTGGTGAGGGAGGCAGTGATGGGTAATGAGGAGCTATATGGGGAGGAGGGTGAGGTGGTTTCTGAACGTGACTTTTTGGGAGGCTGAAAATGGCTCAAAGAGGATTTTTCTTTTTCTTTTCACAGAGGAGATCCCTTCACAATCAAAATGTATGGTGCAGTTGGTTTTCAGTTTTTGGATAAATAATGCCACAATGAAAGGGGACGTTCCTGATTATTTTCAAACATTGTTTCTCTACCCACCCTGACTATATTCCACTGTCCTCACTCACTGCTCTTGTGTCTTTGTTCTTCCCTGAGCATTGAGTGAAGGGGAGGGGGAGCTGGAATCCTTGGCATCATAGTTGTTATCTACTCAAGGGAGTAAGGACCCCTGGAAGAAGTTGGGAAGGGTGTCAGCTTCCTTCTTGTGAGGTCTGCACCTCACCAGTGTAAATGTTGACAGGTGGGGCAGGCTTCTGAAGCAGAATTACTTTCTCTAGAGTTCTACTTTAAATCTTTCCTCTGTTTTTCTAGGGATTCGATTTTGCTATGAATGTAACTCCTTTGATGGATTCCAGTGCCGTGTTCCCATGAAACACTGCTGGAAGTTTAATATATTCTCAAAAAACAACAGGAGTTGTACCACAGAGCACTATTACTATTATCATCGAGTTACAGGTAAGTGGAGATTAGAGAGAGACACAAGACATTAACAGTGGTGCCCACCTTCCCTGGAATCAAGATGTGGAGGGAAACTGGGACCGTGGGAGAGGCTGAGGAAAGTGGAATTCTCCATACACCCACCTGAGGTGGAGTCTGTGTCCCTAGAGGTCTTTGCCTGGTCCTGTCTAGAGAAACGTCAATGAGATGCAGGCACAACTTCGGGATTCATTCCCGTCCACGGAAAACCAATGAGCTTCTGGAGGGACGTCATTGCTGAGAAGATGATGTGATTAAACAAGGTGATCACACTTGCTTTTTTCTGTCTCTTTAGGGAGATACTTTTATCATTATACACGACTGTCTTGTAAAGTTTGTGAAGAGGGAATGGTCCAAGTATTCCATGACTTACTGAAAGAGACGCATTGCTGCACTGATAAACCCTTGTGTAATACCGGACATGATATTGTGGATAAGTCATTACTGTATGGAGAAGATAAATATAACTCTATTCATGATGATATCCCAGAAAATTAAGCTAATTATTAATCAACTTAAGCTTTCTCCCAGTAATCCTTGCCCCTCCCCTACACCAGGGCAATCTCATCGTACATTATCTCAAAACCTAGACCTTCCTCTCCTCTCTATCCTAGTAGATATACCCATGGAAGCTCTGTATTTCCTTTCTCAGTGTTTTCATTAAGAGGAAAATGGGAACACTCATCTCTGCCTTCTGCTTGGATACTTGATACTGCTTGGCAATCTGTAACTGTCCTTAGATTCTGATGCTAAACCTAGAGTACAACTTCTGGCAAAGGAAAAAAAATATTTTCTAGTAGAGCTCCTGAGTGGGGAATCAAGAGAAAGCAGACTGGACAGAAATAGGGACAAGGACTCACAAGAGGTTTTAGGAGAAATATTTGGGAGGAGGATAGAAGAGGTCATTGGTGGAAGGCAGAAAGGGCTCGTATAAGCAAGGGTTTGAGGAAGTAAATGTGAAGCTGGAAAACTCTAACTCCTGCAAAAAGAAAAGTCAATGAACTAGACAAGAGGGTCTTTGTGCCTGCCATCATTTTGGGGGAAACTGTACCAACCACAGCTACTCCTGATCACGTAGCCCTGAGCTACTGTGTCTCTCATGATCTTATTTTGCTTTCATGGCAAAAGCCAAGTACATCAGGATAAGCACTCGGCCTAGTTGTTAGCCAACAACTCTGTCTTCTGGCATATGAGGAATACTCTACCGTCCAGTTCTGAAAAATATTAAATATTACCTTGCGTTCAATAAACTCATTGATAAAAAGTTGAGTGTTTTTCATCCATTGGTACAACCCTACAATGGATTATGTCAAGGAGAGATAAGAATTTCAAACTCCACTGTAGCATTCTAACAAAAATAGTAAGCTATGAAATGACAAAAATGAATCCTTAAGTTACTGTTCACTCACTTTAGGTTAAACTTTTCTTTTACTGTGTTTGCCTTCTTATGTGTTAGAATATACAGAAATTATTATACTTAGTTTTTAGCTGTATAATTATATATACATATTTAATATTACCTCAGGTTTAATAGTATTCCTCCTGATCCAGGCTTATAATAGATTATTGCTTTCTATCACATTGTATTTGCATAGATATAATAAAATACAAATGAATTTTGAAATATTTGCAATATATGTTTGCTTGGGTTTGCCCCAAATTGTGTCATGCTAGCAAGGGCATTACACTTTAGCATCTTGAAAAGTAGAAAATATGAAAATATGGTAGATATTACTTAGTTTATATGGATAGAATGGAGATGTTGGCAGTAGGTTCCAACAATGAAGTGATTCATGGGGGAATTACTGTGATGTATGGTTAGTACCTAGAATGGTCCCAAACAAGTCAAAATTGGAAACTTCAGATTAGGGAAGAGAAATAATATAGATGGTGAAGAAGGTAACCAGTAGCAGGAAGAGTAGCAAATAGACACTGAGTGATACAAACTACTGAATATTTCAAAATACACCCGTAAGTATTCAACACCTATGTATGGATTGCTTGATTTATGCTGAGAGGTGCTGCTAACAGTGACAAAGAACAACGGAAGACACAAACATTATTTGTACTTTTTCAGCACTTTGGGTGCATATTTGTTTATAGTTCTATCACAGATTGATGAGGGCAGGAAAACCTGCCCACTGGCTCTCAGGCAGAGGAAAGAGCCTCAGGAAGCACATTGTAAGCCACAAATGGGAAAAGGCTGTGAGTCTGGAGGCTAAAGGTGCCTGACTTAAACTTCTTGGGTTGATTTTATTTTATTATTTTTTAAAGATTTTATTTATTTATTCATGAGAGACACAGGGAGAGGCAGAGACACAGGCACTGGGAGAAGCAGGCTCCCTCTGGGGAGCCCGATGCAGGACTCGATGCCAGTACCCCGAGATTACGACCTGACCCAAAGGCAGATGCTCAACCATGAGCCACCCAGGTGCTTCTCTTGGGTTGATTTTAAATCTTTGCTTAGGACCATCAAGGTAGGACTGTGGTCTTTAGTTGGGACAAGTTAGAGACAGCAACATGGTTTAGGAACCTCCACAAGTCCTCTTTTCAATGAGGCAGAAGAACTAGGATCCTGCAAAAGCAGGGTCTGCTAGGGCTGGCTAAGCCCTCAAAGATCTCAGAAACGTGGAAATATGCCACTAAAATTCCTTCCACAAACATAGAGTTCCATTCTAAGGAAGAAAGGAACAGTCTGTAAAAATGAAATTGAGCAGGAATAATGACTAACGTTGTAAGAGAATGTTCGAATCCTGGTGGGAGAGGGCATGACAGATAGCAAGTCTTGGAAATCACTATAGAGGTTGAAATAGAGAAATGAAAAATCTTAACTATTTCCCTGTCAATGCCTTCAAGAGATGAAGCTAGGAAAGCTCCCCTAGCCCACCTCCAGCCACACAACATAAAAATCTCCTGGAAAAATACAGTTAATTTAAACATCTATGACATAAAAGATCTGCAAATAATCCCATAGCATAATGTTATGAGATGAGTGATGGACACCATACTTACAGAAACAAAGGATACCAGAAAAATACGGATTCAAAACGAATAAAAACTCAAACTGATGTTTCAAAGTAAACTAACAGAAATGAGGGAAACAACAGAAACTATGAAAAAGCAGCATAGAAAAAAGCTTTTTAAAGATTTATTTATTTATGAGAGAGAGAGAATCTCCAACAGACTCCTTGAGAGTCTATCAAGACTGCTTGAGATCATGACCTGAGCTGAAATCAAGAGTCCAACACTTTACTGACTGAGCCAATCAGGCGCCCCAGAAAAAAAAAAAAAAAACAACACACTTTTTAAATGTTCAGCTTCCAGGATGCCTGGGTGGCTCAGCGGTTGAGGGTCTGCCTTTGGCTCAGGGCGTGATCCCAGAGTCCCGGGATCGAGTCCCACATCGGGCTCTCTGTATGGAGCCTGCTTCTCCCTCTGCCTGCGTTTCTGCCTCTCTCTCTGTGTCTCTCATGAATAAATAAATAAAATCTTTAAAATAAAATAAATGTTCAGCTTCCTTCTTTCTAAGAATTCATTCTAAAAGCCATTTGGGCTGAGCAAGGTAGGTCTCCATGAAGGGGTTTACTGGGTATAGATAGACTCAAAAGAGGATACTGGCAGCCCAGGTGGGCGAGGACAACATCCATGTACTTTGGTGCAGATTGTCAGCATCTGCTATGGTGAAGAGGGTGTCCCTGAAGAGTGATAGGGTGGTAGATGTGGGTAAACATAGGTAGTTGGTGACTGAGTGGAATGAGTAGGGTGTCACTCGGTCCAGCGTTGGTCATTAGAGTCCAAGCTGTGTGATGAGAGCAACTTATGTAATGGACGGCAGTGGCAGACTGGTAAAGAGCATTTAGATTTAAGTGGGGTACATAGTGACTCCAAAAAAAAGGATTTGGTACCTGAAAGTTGCAAGGAGGGCATCTGCATGTGGAGGTAACACTGGTAGTAGCCTGTGGTGGAATGCTGGAGCCCAAGGGGGTCAGGTGGTAACAACGGGAGTTCAGTTTTGTAGAGAGGGGAATAACAACATAAGAAATGTATTGAGGATACTAGGAGCCCAGTGTCTCAGTATTATAGAAAGGATTTATAAATATGGAAAAAGAAAAAAACTAGAATAAATTCTAGATGGAAGTGTGCATGTGGGGGGGTATGTGTGCACGCATGCACACACACGTGTACATACACACGTGTGTTCTTCAGTGTTGACCATAGAGAAGACCTAAGAGTAGTGACACTCCAGTAACAATGTGCATACCTGGTATGCAGATTTTTTTTAAGATTTTATTTATTTATTCATGAGAAACACAGAGAGAGAGACAGAGGCGCAAGCAGAGGGAGAAGCAAGCTCCATGCAGGGAGCCTGATGTGGGACTCCATCCAGGGTCTCCAGGATCACGCCCTGGGCTGAAGCCAGTGCTAAACTGCTGAACCACCCGGGCTGCCCCAGATTTTGGTTTCTAAATAACTTTCCCACTGAGAAGAAGCAGGGCTTCCTAGAGCGAAAATGCAAAATGAGCCTGGAACATTTGACTGTGGCAGATATAAGGAAATGTTCAAAGAATGACAAAAGATATTGAAAGGACACAGGTTCAAGCTTAAGGTGACTCTTACTGACCAAATCTAAACATTAAAATATGCACAATAGTAACAAATTATAATCAAACAAAATAGGAAAATGTGTTTATATTTAACTAATGAAATAAATAGGCTTCATCCTACCAGTTTGTTAGAAATCAGTCTCAATCTGGGTGAGCATGCTCATTCTCACTCCTATTTTTCCCAGGATGCTAGAACTATACAGAGTGGAAAGCCTGAGCATGTGTGAGGTAGGGACAGCTCTGTACAGAGGTTACTGGTGAGATGTCCAGTGGGCAGACTCACATGGCTTGCTCAGATCCCACCAATTTCAGCTTTTTCCATGCCATGCTAGACATGCAGGAATATCGGTGTGACTGCTTCTGGCCCCATCTCCTTGGAAGTATCCTGCAGCTCTTCCATATCTAGCGGTCCATGCCTTCCTGTGTGGTTGCCAGGGAAGCAGGGTGCAAGTTACTATCTCGAGACCCCATAGATTCCCTCTCCTTTTCTTCTCTGACTCCCAACCCCGAAGAGAGTCTCATTCCTGAAAGGCAGAAAAGCTTTCTCTCTTCAGGATTTCTAATGCAAATTCCTTTCTATGTTCTACCCTTCTCCTCACTCTGGGAATAGCATTCACGAACAGAATTCAAGAAGACCCCAGTAGCTAGGGTGTTTTTTGACTTTGCTACTTCCCTCCCTGAGGCCAAAGTTTTGTGCTATGATGGGAGTGTGATAAGAAGGATAATACTGAGAGAGAGAAACATTTAAAAAGAAGGAAAAGAGGGAGGGAGGGAGGGAGGGAGGGAGGGAGGGAGAAAGGGAGGAAAAGAAAGAAACAAACAAAGAAACAAAGACAGACAGAAAGAAAATATCCTGCCACAGAAAGAAGAATCCAGTACAGAATCCAGGAAAAGAAGTGACCTATTCTTGTCTTCATCCTTTTTTTTTTTTTTTTTTTTTTTGAGAGAGGAAACACATGAGGGAGTGCAGGTCAGGGGAAGAGAGAGAGAGAGAGAATCTTAAGCAGACTCCATGCCCAGCACGGAGCCCGAGGCGGGCCTCAATCTCACAACCCTGAGATCCTGACCTGAGCCAGAATCAAGACTTGGACACCCAACCGACTGAACCACCCAAGAACCTCTTGTCTTCTTTATCTGAAGCAACTTAGCTATGCGGTGAAAACACTAGTTTTGTAATAATCTTCAGGAGACATTGGTCTTACTCTCAAAGAATTGGTTGCCCCCACTGCCACCTGCTCCCCACCACCGCCACCAGGGACCAAGATGGAAAATTTAGAAAAGGAGATGGCTTTTTCTTACACACGCAGAAGGCAGAACCATGTGTTTGCGATTTTTAGGAAATCATTGGGAAGAGGCTGAGGCAACAGTGTCATCCAGAGATGAGAGCCCCCAAAAGACGAGCAGTCTCTATAAGGATTCATTGCATAAGTCATAGCCTCTGCAGCATCTGAACTTCACCAAGTAGATACTCCATTTTATTTTGTCCACATTCGCGCACTTTTCCAGGCAGCCCATGAATGTTAACCACGGAGTCCCATCTTCTGCAGAAGGAAGAAGAAGGAAGAAGGAAGAAGAAACAGGTTAGCAAAGAGGCTTGTGCAAAGAAACTTCTTTCCAGCCCATACCAGCAGATAAGAACAACCTCGTGCGTCGTTCAAGTCTGTTATTCCAGTGTGAAGAACTGCAAATGCTGCAAGGTGAGGGTTTCCCAGAAGAAGAGCAGTGGTGGAATGGTTGGAAAAACTTCTTGGGGGTGAGGAGGTGATGAGAGCAGCAATGGAGGGATTTCCAAAGCTGGCTGTCTCAGTAGATAATCTTCACACTGGTTTAAATGAGGGCTATATATACCAAGGGTTCACTTGGCACGAATGATAGGAAAATAGCGAGGGCCATTTACCCAGTGTCTATGGCTGGCACTGGCCCCTCTATCTCCACAGTTTAAAGCCAGCCCCAGGGAAAGCCAGGCAGGGACAGACAAGGAGCTGCCCTCCCCACTCCAACAGGCACCTGTTCTCCACTGGCCATATTGTGCTCCCCTCTCTCCTCTCCATCCAGTCTCCCTGCTTTCCACAGGCTTCTCAAAATACTAGTTCCATAGCTCCAGATCCCCACCCCTTGGTGACCACGTCTATTTCTCATTATGGCCTATGTCAGGGGTCAAGAGATCAGTCATCCCAGAGCTCCCTGGGGCAAAAGAAGGTCTCTGCTTTTTTCCTGTAGCTCATATGTCCTAGGCAGCTTCCCCCACCCCCATCCCACAACTTACTCTTGAAAATCCTCCCGGTCATGCAAACCTCATTTTCTGTCGCGATGCAAAATCCTCTCCCTCTGGAACACTTCTCTCCTGGAAACTGGAGGTGGCACATCCTACACTGAATGATTTCTGTCATTGGGGCCAGGAAATCAGGAAGAGAAGTGAGATCTCACACTGCCAGGAGAAAACTTGTCCCCCCTTTCAGCTCTGAGGTTGGCTTGGCTTTACCAGAGACCCATTAAGTGTGGGCATCTGCCTCTATTAAGAGAGGCTAAGCCACAAGAGGGACTGGAGTTTATGGTCTCCAGAGTTCAGGTTGGAAAAATGGGAGGGGAAAGAAATGTGGAGGGACAGGGATAGAACTAAATCAAGACTGAGATAATCAGGTCTTCTTCATACTCACTGGGATAATATTCTTCATTGATGAATAGTTCATGGACTGCACTGGCAAAGAGAAACAAAACCAGTCTGCAATTTTGTCTGAAATTCAGCCCTGCAGAGCCCCCTGTGATGCTTGTAATGCATAGGGTCCAGCCTATGCTCTTCACTTGTTGCCACTCTAGGCTCCTTCTGTCCTTCCAAAGCCTCGGCATCTGTCTCCTGGCATCTGTGCACCCCCCCTTCCTTTCATTTCCCTTCGCCTCCGTGGGGCCTCTCTAATACCCTCCCCATCCCTAGAGGGTATAGTACAGACCAGGGGAGAAATAGAAATGCACCGTCCCCTCTTCATTCCCTTCTTTGTAATGACCTATGTGACTTTCTTATCTACCTGCCCCTGGAAACTGACAATGGGGAAAAGCATCTGAAATTCATGAAGTTGCCACCTTGTAGGTTTGCCCAACTAGGGCCGGTAAAGTCGATCTTCCACTCTTTCCTTTTCCTTTTGTTTGCCCTTTTTTACACTCACCCTCAGTCTTGCGAACTGCTGTTCATGTTATTTTGTCAAACTTCAAATCAGCTCCCAGCCCAGCCCATCCTACTGTAAGAGCTTGTTGAGTGGTGAAATTCAAGGTCCATCTCTGGGTTCCTTTCAATACCCAAAGCCCACTTTGCCCAGCTCATCTCCTCCCTCCTCCCATCTTCCCGCTCCCACACCATGATCTAGTTCTACTCACTCAAGCGTTTGCTGTTATCCAGGGACCCAGACAGTACTGTTGAGGAAAAAGATACATGCTCTGCAGACCTCATTTCACAAACCCCGCCTCACAGCTTCTATGAAAATCTTCTCATTCCCTTTTAATGCACCTATTTCCTCCTATAAGAGGGAGACTTGAGCTTCTGGTGAAGGTGCCAGGGATGTGATGCATGCAGTGGGTGAAAGGCAAGGTATTACAATGATCATGTGGCTCGCATAAGGGGACCTCTGTCATGGGAGTTCTGACCCATTCCCATATCCTGGATACACCTCATCAACTGTCAACCCTAGGGACTCACTTCTAATGCAGCCAAGCAGGATGGGGAGTCCCAAAAGCAGGAGCTTGTCCATTTTGAAAAGAGAAAGGAGCAGGTTAGGGCGGGAAGCTGCCAGATGCCTATTTATACCTCTGCCAGGCTGGGCTTCCCCAGGAAGAGCTAGGGGTGGGTACACTGCAGAAGTGCTTGAAAAGTATACTCTGCTCCTAGGGAAACCAGTGACCCTGTAGTTTCTCTTTTCTAGAGAACTGGTGAGAAGAGGCACTAGCTAAGTAAACCCTGGTCCTGATTTATTCAGGATGGTTGATGCCATGTTCTATGGCTTTTTTTTTTCATGACACCACACTGTGGGAGAGTACAAGGATAAGTCCGACAGCTAGGTGGGTAGGATTCAAAGTCATCTATGCCAAGGTGCTCATTAAAGCTGAGAGAGTATATGAGCACGAATAATTGCAATGCAGGAAGGACACCGAGCATAGACCCTTAAAAAGGCATACCTACAGGGAGTCAAGGAGAGAGTTGGAGGTTAGACTCACTGACAGGATTCTCATGAGGGACCAGTGTGACATTGTCAATCATCCTGGAACAAGGCAAACCCTGGATGTGAGAGCTGAGGAGGAAGCTGCTTCCCATTCCTAGAGTTTCCCAGAGATTGAGGCAGATTTTGTTAGGAGGTCTGAGATTACTCCTGGAGCAAGGTAAGCTGTCCTTCCCACCTGGTGTCAGGCCAGGTATCAGGGGAGGGGGTGACCTCAACTCAGAGAACTAGATATTCAGTCAGAGAGGTGGCTGGAGGTACAAGTCCCATGGAGGGGGTTGAGCTGGTGGATCTTAAGAACAGCCACACCTAGTATCTCCTTCTAGGTTTCTTTCTGGTAGTTTCCTTTGGTTATTCCTATACCTTTAATGGGTAGGAATGGAAGTTGCAACCTCGTGTCTGCTGTTACTGCAAGGACCTGAGGGAAAGGTCTGCACCCCGTGCTTAGGGCAAAGCCATGTGGGGAGAGAAACAGCAACTGGAAGGAAGCAGATCGCAATGGGGCATAATTTAGGGCTTCAGCAGCAAAGTGGGGTCTTGGTCTAAGCCAGATGTTGGCTGAAGACATTAAGGGGTGAGAGTGATGTGTGGGGGAGATTTTCTCCATGATATATTGGAGGTGATTATTTCACAGCAAAAGAGAAAACTGGTATCTCCACAGGGAGGAAGGAGGAAGAGAAGTATAACTAGTTAACAGCTTACCCAGGGCACTCAGGAGCCTGGTGAAGCTTTGAAATAATACCATTAAGTACTTATGTGTTACACACACACACACACACACACATCACTGATTTTTGTTTTCTGCATATTTACGAACAGATCTTTCCCTTTCCCTCCTCTCATTGCCATGGAATTTAGCATCCTCTCTTCCATCTTTACATCCCTTTCTCTGACTTTTTGAGATCCCCCTTCTTTATCTCCTAGAAATTCCTTATTTCATCTCTTGGCTAATGGCAGCCCACAAGAAGGGAGGAGATGCCCTCTACCTCCACCTCATCAGAAACTGTCTCTTCCCCTGATGACACTTCTGTGCTATGATTATATCACTTCTCCTCAAGCGGAATCTTCCTCTCCCAGCCTTGGGGATCCACCTGGATTCCTAGCTTATAGTTCAACCCTATTTTTATTTATTTATTTATTTATTTTTAAATTTATTTTTTATTTTAAATTTTTATTTATTATTTATGATAGTCACAGAGAGAGAGAGAGAGAGAGAGAGAGAGAGAGGCAGAGACACAGGCAGAGGGAGAAGCAGGCTCCATGCACCGGGAGCCCGACGTGGGATTCGATCCCGGGTCTCCAGGATCACGCCCTGGGCCAAAGGCAGGCGCCAAACCGCTGCGCCACCCAGGGATCCCCTCAACCCTATTTTATTGACTGACTTTTCTCTCAAAGTTTCCTCAAATTCCTGCTTCCAGCCTTAGCATTCTATAATACCTGATTTTCCTCCTTGGCCCCGTCTTTCCTTTTCCCAGTACCCCTTAACTCTCTTCTTACCCTCTTTTGGCACCCCACATAATTCATTTTATATCATATATTTCAGATCTAAGACTTGACAGTATTCAAGAATGAATCCCTTTTGCCTATTGCTCTGAAGTTCATGTAAGTCTGTCACAATCCCTTTGCTCATGATGCTCTCTCTTCTCACCACTGCAGAATTCTGGGAGAACACTTGTTAGTCCAGAAAAGTAGCCCAACTCTTCATCTCTGAGAGTGACTAGGTAGGTGCCCAGTTGGTCTTTATGTGTATGATTGGAAGATGTTTGGATAATGTGTTAGCATTTTCAGTTTGCATCTCCAGTGTTGCCACATAAAACAGTAAAAACAAAATGATGTTTTTTGAATGGAAATTCACCTTCCAATTCCAAGTTATCATTATTTTTATTTATTTATTTAAGATTTATTTAGAGAAAAAATATTTAGAGAGAAAGAGAGAGCACACGCACAAATGCACGCATGAGCAGGCGGAGGGGCAGAGGGAGAGGGAGAGAAAGAGAATCCTCAAGCAGACTCCCAGCTGAGCATGGAGACTGATGCAGGGCTTGATCCCAGGACCCTGAGATCATGACCTGGGCCAAAATCAAGAATAGGACGCTTAACCAACTGAGCCACGCAGGTGCCCCAAGTTATCATTATTTTTAAAATAAATAGATCTACTCTGCATAGGAAATACAGCAAAATATCCAGAAAATCATTGGTAATTAATAGATTTTCACATAATGACCTTTTTAAATAGGCTCATGGGACTGGAGGTGAATATTACCAGGATCTGAGGAATGAGACCTCAGCTTAGGCAGATCCCACATCTGAAGAGGCCTCACAAAATGAAGAACTCCACTGCAGCACCAATGGTCTTAGGCTCCTGGGCTTTTCCCAGCACCCACAGGACTTGTTCCGGTGATCTAGCAGGGACAGAACAGTTTCTTCTAAATCAGGGTTTAGGAAAATGGTCTGATCAGAACAGCCTGTCTCTTTTCCTTCAGGCCAGCAACCAGCATAGCCTTGGGTAACTCTGACTAGATGAAATCAGAGAAGTTCTACCCTCTGAAGGGATGTGAAGACATGACTTCACAGACAGTATGAGAAGGTCTGAGAAAGAACATAAAAGGAGTGTATCTGGGGAGTTTATATGTGTGTATTCTTTTCTATCATAAGACTCATGATCCCCAACGATTTCCTGGGACTCTGAGAATTGTTTGAAACCTCCACAGTTCCCTGGATAGTTCCCTCCTTTGATGCCAAGGGCCAGAGAAGAGAGCATGGACATTGACATGACTAAGGAGGTAAGTTTAGGATTCAAGGGTGTCAAAGTAACCAATCATCTACCCATTGTTCCTACTATGGCTTACCACTCAAAAAAAAAAAAAAATCTCCTGTACTTTCAATATGCTGTATCAATAAACCTAGCTCTCACCTGGAAAACTCATTCGAAGAGTCACCTCAGCTAAGGAGAAATTAGGGAATCCTCTTCTGCTTTCCATGGGAAATTCACCAACGCACAAAGGCCACGCTCAGAGGCCTCTCTGCAAACTGCAGAAACTCCCATGGTGGCACATAGCTCTCTCTATTGCTCAGTTTACAACATACTATTTAAATGAATCCCTCCAGATTACAAAAATAATCTCTCTCACTTCAGAGAGACCAGTTGACCAAAGCAGATTTCCCCCCTGATATTTCCTCTGAGT